TAATTTATAATAAAAAATTTGAATTAAAAAAAATACACAAACAAAAACTATTAAATAGTTAATTTGATACTAATATTGATATATTTTTTACAAATTTTATATGATATTTTCAAATTTATATTTTATTAAAAAATAAAAACATTATCGCTTTCTCAAAATCACATAAAATCGTATTATATCGACTTGGATAAAAAAAATAAAACGAAACATTAAAATGGAAATGTGTCTCGATGCATTGCACGAGTATTCTTCTAGTATTTATTAATTTCAATGGTTTTTGTTTCTTGACTTTATTTTAACAGATTTGTCCTTCAATTTTGACACCTCGTGACGATTTTCTTCTCGCCTTTTAACGATCATTAATTTTCTCTGTTAAATCTAGTTCAATTGAGGGTAGTTTGGTCATTCTACGTACTTCCATATTTTTTATTAAAAAATTAAAATAAATTTACATATAATTATGTATATACGTGTGAACACCTCCCTCCCCAAATAATGAAGGTGTCGCAAGTTCACTCTCATCTCCGGCCAGATCTAAAACCTCATCTTCGTCTATATCTCGTTCCAAATTCGTATATTCATGTAACATTTCTAAGATTTTTTTGTTTGCTTATTTATTTAAGATCTACTTGTCGTCAACATTTTGGGCTTCTATCATGCAACCATCAAACTGTTATCGAATTATCTCAAGCAATTTGTGTTTTTTTATTAACCTGGATATCCAACCCGCTATGCGAGCCGATTAATCCCAGAACGACCACCTGTTTTGCAGATAGCCCAGAGTCATCGCATTTGAACCTCCGTAGCCACAAGAAGAGATTTATTCCTCCTTGAATTTGAACCTGAGCAACTTGTGTATTACAACTATGAGGATATAGCCTTTCGCTTGTAACTCTCATTGAGCTGCTTTTATTTGAAGTTGCTTATGTTTTCAAGGTCCAAATGCTATAAGATTTTGGGTTTCTACTGACAACCATAAAGTTGTTATCGATTTATATCTCACAGTCATCATGATACAATTACTTTTCACTCATATCTTATACCAATAATTTTTAAAGCTTTTTGTCTTGCCAAGGTTTAAATGTTGAAAAAAAAATTGTTTCTATCGAGAAACCATCAAGTTGTTATCGAGTTTACATAATGTTAACATCGTGTTAATTGTAAGGTCATAACTTTTCATGTGTAACTTGAATCTAAGGGGCTGTTTATTAAATGCTTATCCGATAGGTGTTTACCATATAATTTTTCTCATCGGATGAATACGCCAAGACCCAATAATTTTACTCGGTAAGAGTGTAAGGATAGAGAGTCTTACCCGGTAAGTGAGGGTAACAACTCTTACACGGGAAAGTGTTTACCAAGTAAATTGTTGCATATCATTCCATTTTGATGTACTACGATCTTATCCATAAAATAAAGTATAGTGTTGAATTATAACGATAGACGCTTACCGGGTAAACATTTAGGTAAACAACCCCTAAATGATTTATTATTTAAGTTGTTCTTTTAAGATATGGATGATGCAAATTTTTGGGTTTCTATCAAACAACCATCAAGTTGTTGAACTTATATCAAATCTTAATCATGTAAACATCGTGAAAGAAGATATTCTCATATATGTTTTGATGATGGACAAAATGTATCAAAGTGTAACAAAGTTTACCTTATGGCCGTTTATATATACACCTACCCCGTAAGCGCTTACAGATAAGAAACTCCTCTTTGATTGGTGTTCCGATCTTCAGATATGTGTTTGTCTTGTAACCAGAGATCTCTACACCTAACACACCTGAATAGATTGTCCCATTCCAATCTTCCATCTGAAACCCTTTTTCAATACAAGTTGAGAATTTCAAATTGTATTGTTAAATGATATATAATTTTGAATTTAATAGATGATATAACATACAAATACACAATAAACAATACCATAAGAGAAAGAGAGCTTTTTAACCGACTATTTCAATTACTCTTTTGGCCATGGTACTATGTAGATTGGGCCAAATTGCATAAATGATGAAAGGTGTAATGGGTTATTTTGAAATGTTTACAGTGACTTCATGTCAATAAGGAATCTGACATGGGATCGAGTCATGAAACAATGGTTGATTTATACTTTATGCAAACGTCATGTGCTGGTTGTACATTTATAGACCTTTTTATCTAACTATTTAAGAAAATATAGTCACGTATATATGACTTAGAGCATCTCCAACAACTTTTCCATAATACTTTGTTTCAACAGTTTTTCTAAAACTATCTTCAAAATAGAGAAAGTAGGAGAAAGAAGGTCTTTTCCTCCAAATATGAAGAAAACCCTAAAAATGATTATCAATTAAGACCACCAATATAAAACTTTAAAAATAAATAAGAGAGAGAAAATAAAAAAATTAATAGATGAATGAAATATACTTTAATATTATAATCAATCTTGGATTCTCCAAAATGGAGAATCTGTCGGAGATGAATGTTTTTTTTTTTTGAATATTTTGCTTTTAAGGGGTGTTTGGGATTGCTTATTTAAAGTGTTTATTAACTTATTTCAATGTGGTACCGGTAATTAGAGATGGCCAAAAACCAGTCCCGGACCGGTCCCAATCGGTCCTCACCATTCTCATAACCAGCCATAAACGGTCCCGGCGTAACCGGTCCCGGTCTCGGTCCCGGTCGAAAATGATAGGACCGGTATAGGTACTTTATAACCGGTTATGAGCTGCCGGTCCCGGTCCCGGTCCCAACCGGTCCTTCATTAAAAAAATAAGATTTTTTATTTTATTTTTTTAATGATATATATTTTTAATACATTATAAAATTTACAATTGGGTCACTCAAATACACTTTAAAAATGCGTTTTAATATAATTAAAATTACGTTTTCTTATAAAAATACATTATAAAATTATTTAAAAATACATTTATTTATAAAATTAATTGAATTTTCGGGCCGGGCCGGGCCGGGCCTTAGTCGGTCCCATAACCGGTCCCGGTCCCACGAAACTACCAAAAACCTCAACCGATCCCGGTTTTCGGTCCCATAACCGGTCCTTACCGGTCCCGGTCCCGGGCCGGTCCTTTGTCGGTCCCGGGCCGGGCCGGGCCCATTTGGCCATCTCTACCGGTAATAAGAAGTTTTTAGTGTTTGGATGGAGAAAAAAAAAAGAAATGCTTATACCGGTTTAGCACCGGTAATAAGAAGTTTTTAATGAGTTACTTTCTTCTAACTTATTAACTTATTCCGATGTGGTACCGTCAATAAAAAGTTTTAGTGTTTGGATGAGAAAAGAAAAAGAGTATCTTTATCTATTTTATCAGCTTATCCGGTGTGGTACCGCTACAAGCTAATCCAAACAGTTTTTTTATAAAACTCCAGTCTACCACCATATAAGTTGATAAAACACTTTTACAAAACAGCATAAGTTGTTTCAAATAAGCAATCCCAAACACCCTCTTAGTTCTTTTAAGGAATCCGTTAGAGATACTCTTACACATTTTGTTCAATCAATCTTAGATTTTGCCATAATACATTTGGCTTTTAAAGACACTTAGTGCTATCAAAAAGTATATTTGCGAAACAAGTGCACTTTTGGGTAATACATGGTTTCAACGTGTTATGAAGTTGAAATTGCGATATTTTAGAACATAACTGGTTATAATTTATTAGTTACAGTTGTTTTAATCAATGTAATTCATCTTTTGTCAATTTAATCAACAACTAACCATAACGTGAGAAACCCTTTGTCTATGTCCCTTACCCATGCCTATAATTGCTTTGACTGTAAAATAACCCAAATATTTAACTCTAAACTATAAAAATTGATATAGATATATTATTTTCAAGAATAACGAGATAAATAAATTATAACATGTGTCAAAGTCTTTTGGAGACAAGTTGCATATGGAAGTAGTTATAATTGCCAATAATCGGCTTTTTGTTCAAATATATGTCAAGATTAAATTTATCTGAATAAGATAAATTAAATTGAAAAATCATTAATTTTTTTTATCTTCTAAAAGCATTTTGTAAAAAAAATTAAAAATAATTTACTAAACATCAAATACCATTTATTTTTTCTTAATTTGATGCCCACATCGATATTTTAATTTTATTTTTAACCGAGTTGTCAAAATTTCAATCACATGTATATCAAAATGTAAGCATGTTCATGCTAATATTTTTACAATATTATAAAACATATACCATGTGTTTCTTAAAATCTGCTAAAACTTAAGTTTACAATTATTACTGCATGTGCATAATTTTCTTACAACTATACATTTGAACTATATAAGATTAACTTTTAACTAGTTAATAAATAGTTCAGATATCTCATAATAGTTGAACCCCAATAAACTGGTATTAATATGACATTATATTCCATAAAAACCAACTTATGACTCTCTCTCTCTCTCTCTCTCTCTCTCTCTCTCTGTTAGTCATACAAAACCATAAAAATAAAAACGAGAAGAAGAATAAAAAGAAGCATGAAGTATGCTTGTAGGTTCGAGATCTTAGTTTCATAATCGAGATTGGATCACACTATATTACATGAATACACATATAAAAATACACTTATTATTCATGTTTATCTATCAATCTATCTATCGATATATATAGAGAGAAATGATCACGCAAGAAGTTAACGAATTTGTGAGAATGTGAAAAGCTCCAAGGTCATATATGATTACACATGATATGCATGTTTGATCATATGTGGTTAAACACGCTCAAATGAGACGCAAGTGACTTGGTAAAGCTATGTGTTGTCAATACAACATGTGTTTAATCATATGATTAAGCATGCATATCATGGGTGTAATTATATATAATATTGAAACTTATCGTCTTCTTGCAAATTGACCAGCTTATCGTTTGAAATTGATTATACACACACACGCACACACATATATATAACCCAATTCATCACCGATATATAACGGTTTGATTTTATTATCATCTTTAGTATCAAATTTATAATTTACTCGTAATTTATGCTAACAGAATAATTAATTAAATCTATTTAAAGAGTAATAATCTTTGGAAGTAGTTTGAAAAGTATCTTCCATCTCAAAATAAATGTTCACGAGAAGAATTGTATATAGTTTTAAAAATGTGTACTTATTATGTTTTTAAAGAGTAAATTATGGATTTGGTCCATGTGGTATGTTGATTTTTATGAATTTGGTTCTCATACTTCATTTATTATGGAGAATGCCTTTGTGGTATGCACTTTCAGTTGGATTTGGTCCACAGTCTTGACCTTCATCTATTTATTCCGTTAACCTTGAGGGCATTTATGTCTTTTCACATTTTTTAGAATAAAGTTTTAGTAATGTATTTCTTTCTTTCCTTTTAACCACCATTGAGAAAGTGACACGTGCCCTAGAAATTAAAAAGAAAACGTTTCCTTTATCTTTGATTCCTGTTAAACATCATCTTGTCATCATAAATCTCCGGCATTGCCTCTTCTCATTGACCACCAACTCCCCCTTCTCACTTGCATATACCCCCTCCATCTATCACCTACTAACATCTCCACCCTTCCCATGACCATTCACACCACTATTGTCCTTACATAACCGACACCACCCTTTCACCACAAAGACCAAAACAATGTTTACTCCACACAATCTCAAGTTTGATCTTCTACGTGTGTGTAAGATCGATGGAGATGGTTATCCAGGAGGGTCACACTGCAGGGACATCGTGGATGAAGGGGAAGGGAAAGTAATCAGAGGGGGGTGGGGGTATTGATAGGTAGAGGGTGGTGGTTAGGCATGGATGATGGTGGTGCTAAAAGGGGGAAGGGGTTTCCTCGGAAAAGAGGTAACAGGTTCGTTAGAGAAGGAAGGTAAACAAGTTCACTTTTGGTCCTCCAAGTTTTAATATATACGTTTTGACCCCTACATTAACAAACTGTAAAATGACACTTGTGTTCTCGACTATAACGAATCTAGAAGAACGAATCTAGAAGATGATCGTTAGGACAAATGACCAAATCCAACAGAAAGTACATACCACAAGATATTCTACATAATAAATGAAGTACGAGGACCAAATTTATAAAAATCAATACATCATACCATATAAATCAAATCCATAATTTAACTCTTTTTAAATAATGAAATTATAAGAGAAAGTACTTACAAGAAACGCGATGTATTGGACGAAAAAGGAAACTCTTTCATAAACATCCAAGAAAGGGCTTTTATTTTGAAGGAAATCAAAGAAAATACGATACGTTGATGAAATCCAACGGTCCGGAACACCTACTGACAACTGATGCTCCAGCTAAGCGAGAAGCAGAAGACAACACCTTCGTCGTCTTCCGCTTTCAATTTTATTTATTACCCGCGTCAATATCCATCACCGTATCTCCATAAAACACCTCTTCAATGGCGTCACCGCCTTCTCTGCCCTACCTGACTCATTTTCATCGTTTCCATTACTCTCTCCCTGTCTCACACACGTATACATACTTGAGGTGAAACGCACTTGATTCTTCATTTTCAAGCTCACAATGACGTGATTTCGCTTGAAACTCATTACGTTTAGGGTTTAGGGTTCCGATTTTTCGTTAGTAATTTATAGTTTTGAGCTCACAAACAGAATTTGGTTGGGATTTAGTTGAATTTGAATAGTTCAGAATGGGATTTTGTGCTGTATGATTCCAATTTCGTTGCTGATTTAGGGCTTTTTTGAGGTTTATGGGCGTGGATTGGGTTACATTAGCTGAATTGTTGAAATTCTGTGGTCTTGCTTTTGTTGAACGAATGTTTTGATTAAATATGCCAAGTATCAGAGCTCCAGCGACCAAGAAAACTACAACTCTCACTGTTAAGTATTTTGATCATTTGGATTTGTTTATGAGATTCAGTGTAATTGTAGCTTATACATAGTTCTTTTTATAGGTTGCTGTAAAATGTAGGCCATTAACCGAGAAAGAACGTGGCCGTGATATAGTGCGAGTAAACAACAGTAAGGTGCGTTTTTTTTCCATTCTCAAACTTACCATTTTTCTTGCTAACTGCAGAGTAAAACATATTTCTGAAGCTAATGTTTCCATTTTCGGTGATTGTATATGTTCTGAATATGTTGTAATGCTTTGCTCAGGAGGTAGTTATTTTGGATCCGGACTTGTCAAAGGACTACCTAGATCGGATACAGAATCGAACAAAAGAGAGAAGATATGCTTTTGATTATGCATTTGCTCCAAACTCTAAAAATTTGGTATGTGCTGGATAGTTTATACGTTACTTATTCATATGCTTCTATTGCTAAGGCATCACAGAAAGCAATACATTAGTTGTTCTTTTTCTTCCGAGCCCCAAGAGTAGCATGAACGCTTCAGCCTACCAGAGGCAATCCTATATTTTTATACCCAAAAGTTAGTATTAGTTAGCGCTGTTTGTACCTGATAAAGTGAAAGAAGTTTGCAAGTTAAGGGTACATATGTAGCAGCTTATTGACTAGATGGGAATATGAATGGCAAGCATATGCAAAATTTATCTGCAGTCCAATTATTTTGATTTCACATTTTAAGTACACGTGATAAGCTGCTTAATTAAGCACGGTGTCCATGTTCTGAACTTTTCGTGGTAGTGCATGTGAAAAGTCTGAATTAATTTAATGACCTTTTTCATAGAGGTACAGGGTAATTGGCATAAAATCTTTACAGGGAAAACAAAGATGGAAAAACCATCTAGATATGGATTTATTTATCTAGGCTTGGAATATGCTTTATGATGTATGGGTTTGTTTGAGGAAATTGTTGGGCACATGGCAGAGGTTGAAAAGAAAGTGTGGAGTTGAAGCAAGACATTTTGGATATTTTCCATTAGATTTGTCATCATCTTGATGGAAGTACCTACTTTTTCATTTTAAAATCAGAAGTGCTTTGGAGATTTTTTTATATTTGAGTATTTCTGATTTCTTGATAACTTGCAACTGTGTAAAGGACATTTATCAAGTCTCTACCATGGCAAATTTTCTTTCTGCTGAAGTAGACATTTAATTCCACTAACCTCACGCTTACTCTTGTAACATTCGATAACCTATGTCTCGTGCTCCTTGGGTTGTAACCCTAACAAGATTATTTGAAAAGATACAGTCATTGGTCTATTGTGAACTTAACTGGTGATTGATGCATACTTAAACTTTTTCTGATCCGTGTTAACAAAATATCCATTTATGTATTCACTGATCGGTAGCATGATGGGCGATAGTCTTGAACCCTTGTGTATACATAGATGATAGATTGCTCAACAGAGATAGTGGGAGGATACCCAGTATCTAACACATGTAATACATACCTTGACACATACCTTGGTTGTTAAGCTGCCTCAAAATGGTCAAATTGCACAGGGTTTGTGACTTCCTTTGTTCCTCATAGCAGCACATCTTACATGTGATGCCTTGAAGTGTATGTTTTACTTCAATTCTACAAATATAGTTAGGTGTCCAGTTAGTTGAGCTGAAGCTCCAAAACATCCATATGTTACAACCTCCAACTCTTGTTCACTTTCTTACATTTAGTTGAATGGAGTTGTTAACCTTAAAACATAAGAGTTTTACATGCTAACTTTTACTGCTCTAGATAAGGACTGTATTGGGTTTCAAGATATCGTCTATGTCGTTCTTCTATTTTTTTATATATCTTACTTTCAGTTTATAATGATCATTGTTAATGATTTGTGGTGCTGCTATATGCAGGATGTCTATGAGAGAAGTATATCTTCTACAATCTCCGGGGTAGTTCATGGTCTAAATGCTACAGTGTTTGCATATGGTTCAACTGGAAGGTAATAAAAAAACAGTCAGTTTTTCCCTTACACATTGTACTTGCAAACATGGAAATTGCTCATATCTCTCTTTCTTTCTCTTTCTCTCTCTCCCCCTCACACACACACACACACACACACACCCTCTCTCCTGCTTTCCCTCTACCTTCACCCGCACCCACCAAAGGAGTAATTGTTCTGCTCTGCCTGATCCTTAATTCATTTGAGGTGTGTTGCTGCCTCTTTTTGTGGAGTTTATGTTATTGTTTGCAAGAGTTCATGTCGGAATGAATGGAAAATTATTTCTCTGTTGGCAAATTATAACAATCTCAGATTGTTCCAAATGCTATTACTAGGCCGCTTTAATTAGTGCTTCAGCCATTTTTAGGCCCAGTAAAGCTAACCAAAAGCTGAGCAAACAGGGTGGGTGGTTGATAACTTACCAACATCTTTTCACTGACACATCGTTAATATTCCACCAGATAACACACGACCTGGGCTAATTATGAGTTCGTCAACATTGACTCATCCACTACACAACTATATGGAAAAATGGAGAAGAAGAAATCACAAATTATGTTTTCTACGGCAACACTTGCAAGTGCATGAATTGTCAGTAAATGAATACATTGAGTATTGCCTACGAGAAACTGTATGCATTAGTATTTAGTAACAAGTTTAACCAAACACGGGGTTATTTGAGCAGCCAAACAGTTGGAATATGAGAACTAAATGCTATGAACTAGAGTTAACTAACATAGATTGGCAACTTGGCAACTGAAATGTGTTTTGCTAAAGCTGTACTGAAGAAAATAGCAAATCCTAACATACCCAATGTATCCCACTTGGAAGTGTGGTATGTGGGTAGGATGTATGCAAACCTTTCCTCTACCCTAAGTAGTAGAGAGAAAGATCACCATACCAAGATCATAAATAATAAAACAAAGGAGTGTTTGAGATTGTCTTTCAATTAGCTAGAGCTACACACATTTCCAAGTCGATGGTCGAACCATGACAGGTGTATTAGATGGAAGAGGGTGATGGTTGAAATACAAGGAAGGAGTGATGCCTCCTAATGGGTGGAGCCTTGTAGTTATTTTGGTTGGGAGGTGTAGTCCATTAGGATTTATACTCGGGGTTATGGTTGATATGAAAGTGATTTGGTGTAGGAAGATGAGGGTTGTCTAAATGCAGGGAGAGAGTGTAGCGGTGTTTTTTCTCTCTAGGATCTTGGTTGGATGGGTCTCTTTGATTGGTATACAGAGGGAGGGAGGAATTAGTTGGCTCTGCTTTTTCTTCAACAACGGATATGACTTTATTTTTTTGTATTCGGCCTTCTCTTTGTCCTGTGCGAGTCTAACAAGAGATAACTCCTCCAATTGTTTGTTCTTCCAATCCTTGAGAGTCTTCCCTGTCATTTTGTTATTTCGTTTGGTTGTTGATTGCATGTTTATCTTCGTCTAATGACAAATATAATTGTCAATTCAAATTTCGACCAGACCTGATATAGTTAATGAGCCATGAGATGAATAAATCAACAGAACAACCTTTTGAAGCAGTTATTATTATTTGTTATAAGAACTGAACAAAGATAGACATGGTATTGAAATAAAGTCAAAGTTAATTGTATTTGCAATAAGATCGACAAAATGAATAGATATATCCCAGGAGAAAAAGATATAAATTTGGTGTGAAGTGTGAACCATCATTTAAAACAACTCTGATGACATTTATTGTAATGTGGAGTGGGGGATGGTTAAATAATAAATACTTGTCAAAAGAATTTTGTGTGCGTAAATGTTCCGTTTCATCTTTATTTACATATGGATTGTGAATGAATTCCTACTCCCTACTGATGGCTTCATATAGTCTATGTTGAGCGTGCATCAAATCCATATCTTGGATCTGATTTTTGATCCAAAGCGAGGGAAAATTTTGGATGGCTTGAAAGGAGAAAAAAGAGGTTTTGAGTAGGTATGAAGCAGTCCAATTTTTGGTAGCTAAACATGTATAGATCTTAGCTCTAGGATTTTTTATGGCCCAGTCACCTGTTTTTTCTTGCCATGATAAAGAGCAAAAAGCTTTGCTAGGGTCTTGAGTGATTTTCACCACGTCTTTGTAATCTACATATTTCTCATACTGAATTCTTTTCATTTCTATGCGATCTTTATTGCTCCACACGAATTCACTCAAATACCTTTTTTCTGTATGTTTAGTTTCTTTTGATGTCTGTGTTTTGTAATTTATTTGGAACATTTTACACATGGATCTTTCATTTTAGAGTTAAGTGGAGATTAACTTGGTATTCGGAGGGCAGACTCCCCCACATGCATCCTGAGTCTTGGGGGAAGCCAACGTCTTGAAATATCTTCACTATAGAATATGTGACATATCCATATATTCTTTTTCATTCTTTGGTGATTAAGTTTACTTCAAGCTTAACGCAAGTCTATGTTTCAGTGGAAAAACCTATACAATGGTAGGAACTGCAAGTGACCCAGGTCTGATGGTTCTCAGTCTAAATACAGTATTCGATTTTATAAAAAATGATAAGAGCTCCGATGAATTTGAAGTTACTTGTTCCTACCTTGAAGTGTACAATGAGGTAATAACATGGTGATTCCTATCTAAAACTATATTATATCAGTCTCTTTAGTAAGAGCTTGCAAAGATTGACCTTTTTTGTATGAAAACAGGTGATCTATGATCTGCTTGAAAAATCATCTGGTCATTTGGAACTCAGAGAGGATCCAGAGCAGGGGATAATTGTAGCTGGCCTTAGATGTATCAAGGTTAAACGTCTTTCTTGGATTAGTTGATTTGACATGACTCAACTTCTGTAGGAGTGTTATTGAACCCCACAATGGGCCACCAAGAACTGCTTATTTGTTTACCAACATCTTTAAAATCCTAGTCATAACACCAGTTGTCCAATTTATATAATGCAATAATTCCATTCTGTACTCTGTTGCAAATCTACGAATAAAGTTTCAAGTTTTGGGCCATCTAATCTCACTATCCCATGCCATGAGGATCTTCCATTTATCAGTTTAGTTTTTCAAATTTACTAGCAACTTGTAGTTAGTAGTTCACTGTTGGATCTTTCAAACATTTTATTTTCTTATGTCTGCTTCCAACTAGTGTCTCTATTTCCTGAATTGGTATGTCCTAGAGTTCCTCAAGACTGAATTTTTTGATCAATATACTTTTGCGAATTGGTGTGTCCTAGAGTTCCTGTTTTTTATGGGTATGTTTTCAATCGATAATGGTCACCCAAGCTTAAAACTGATGAAGTAATTACAAATATCTGGCACTGAAGAATTTGCTAGACTAAGGCTGTGTTTGGAGAACCATAAGCTATTAGGTTTAGATGATATTCTTATTCTTTTGTTTCAGGTCAACTCAGCTGATAAGATTCTTGAGCTTTTAAATGTGGGGAACAGTAGGCGCAAAACTGACAGCACGGATGCTAATGAAACATCATCACGGTGAGTTATACTCATACCTGGCGAATGTACTTCCAAGTTTCGATTGGTATGCATGACTTCTGATAAGCATCACCATGACCATCTATATGGGACCAATTTTTAAGCTTCATGTCAATAAATGTTTTTACCATTTTCACGGTTGCACATATGTAGTAATTTTGAATCATGCATATGGCATGAATAACTTATCAAATTTGATTGATATATTGCAATAAGAAATTGTTCTATTGCACCTTTCTTACCCTCCTCCCCCAATGGCAATTACTCCATTGGTCCTGGTCCACTGCTGAATGGGTGTCAGTCATTAGTATTAATTACTGCTTTTACAGTTTTGCCTCTACAACAATCATCAGTTCCATAGCGCTGTTGCCACCATTTTTTTTTAAGGAAAGTAGTAATTGATGTCAAATTGGAACCCTGCTGCTGCAAATATTAGATCTTCTGTACGTTCTGACTTACCTTTTGCTTTCTGAAATAGTTCACATGCAGTTTTGGAAATATGTGTGCTTAGAAGGCAGAAAAGGAAATATAGGAGTCAAGTTATTCGTGGTAAACTTGCACTTGTGGATCTTGCTGGGAGGTATGATTATTCCCAATATATATACTTTTGTATATAAGTTTGAAAAGTTTGGTTCTAAAATATACAAATTATGCTGCAGTGAACGAGCTTCTGAAACAAACAGTGGCGGCCAGAAACTGAGAGACGGTGCCAATATAAACCGGTCACTTCTGGCTTTGGCAAACTGTATAAATGCTCTGGGAAAGCAACAGAAAAAGGGTCTAGCATACGTCCCTTATCGTAATAGGTAGGAGATTGGCAATTAGCTTAGCATGATTCCTTTGCATCACTCGACTAATTCACTAACATCTTTCAGCAAATTGACACGGATCCTTAAAGTTGGCTTGAGTGGGAATTCTCAAACAGTCATGATTGCAACTATATCACCAGCAGATAATCAATATCATCACACTGTTAATACCTTGAAATATGCGGACCGTGCCAAGGAAATCAAAACACACATCCAGGTAGAAATTCTGTGCTAAATAAAACTGACCAGGATGCACTTTAAGGATTAGCATGCAGATGTGTTGTAGGTGAATGATTGTTTGGGACTAGAATTTTGTGTGCATGAGATTGCGTTTAGAGGTTGCGGGTTCAATCCAGGGGGATCCGGCAACACATTTAGATCCTTGCTGTTAAGAACATGGAGGCTATTTCCTGTTTAAATTGTCAGCTGCTTTTTCTAGATTCCCACTGTTAAACACATCTTGACGAAGACTTCATATTTTTTATTGCCAGCTGCTTTTTGGCATAGACTAGTTTCCTCCACTCTCATTGTTGTTTGGGGCTACATTTCTGAACGTGATGTTCTTTTGTGTTTATATGTTTATGTTTAACATTTTTGTGTAGTTGAATATAAGACGCCGGAAGTATGGTTTTTGCACTCATGTAAAGAACCGAGTTTTAATGGTCTTTCTAATTTTCTTTTCAGAAAAATATTGGCACTGTTGATACACATGTATCGGATTATCAGCGTATGATTGACAGTCTTCAGGTAAGGTCTTCGATTTATTGCAAATTTTGTGGTTGTGCAAGTTTAATCATGATTTATTTACAGGTGTGCTAATCTGTTAATTGTAGTTTACTTATGTATTTATTTTTCCACAGACGGAGGTCAGTCAGTTAAAGACACAACTAGCTGAAAAGGAATCACAACTGAACAAACCTACTGAAAGACCAGTGGATGATGAATTATCCTGGTTGAACATATTGAGCCAAGAAACCAGTGAAAATGTTCAGGAACGGATAAACTTACAGAAAGCATTATTTGAACTTGAGGAAACTAATCTTAGAAATCGAACTGAGCTACAACATCTTGATGATGGTATTGCAAAGCAGCAGGTACTGTTATGACCAAATTGGCATGATTGTACTTCCAACTCAGGTCTTGCTTTTCATATTTCAAAGACAATTCCCATGAGTATAAACTGTTACAGGAAGCTGAAGCAAAACCTTCTAACTTCCAACTTAGGAGTGCACTTTGCATTTGCACATACTTTAAAGGATGGTCAAAGTGCTCCAACATGAACTGAAATCCTGTTTTTCCTTGGCCTAAGCCATGTTGTAGAGGAAAGTAAGAAGGGTACATAATCCTATTTGCTATTGACAAAGAAGTTCAAATCTTTTTATCTTGAAAAACTGGACTGTTACATCACAAAACTAGTCATTGTCTAGAAATAGAATGGCCTAGTAAACTCAAACATAGGAGCCTATCTTTTTCCCCGCCTTCATGGGATGATCCAAAACTGGTCATTATCTAGAAATTGTATGGCCTAGTAAACTCAAAATAATCTATACTTGGTCTAGTTGGAAGGTATAGTCATATCATCTAGCTATTGGAACACTGGTTTTAAATTTAAAGGGTGAAAATTTAATAAAAAGACTCAGCTACCAGATAGGGATTGTTTGTTGGATCAAGTTGTTGCCTTAAGATCAATATATAATGTGCTGAATGACATGAAATTGTTATTTGGCAAGTTTGACGCCACCTTTCTTGGCTCTCTTTAAAAATTTAGGCAATTAAAATAGTTAAAAAGAACATGGATTGGCTGTATTACAGTTGGTAATTTTTATTGGTCTGAACGTAACTTTTTTCTTCGTACACAGGTCATTGAAAATGATGGAACAGTTGTGCAGGCTTTAGTATTAAGGCGACAACTTGTTTTGGACAATATCCGTGACAATGACGAGACTGGCGTTATTTACCAAAAGGTAGTCCATTCCCCTTTAGCATGGGTGGTTGTTGGAGATATTATCGTTTAGCTGGGTGGCCTTTAACTAACAATTTTGAAATGTTTTCTGTTACAGGAAATTGAAGCCAATGAGAAACGCCGATGCCAATTACAGGAGATGATTGATGAGGCCATTAGTAACAATGCAAATAAGACCTACTTACGTATTCTCAGTCAATATAGACTCCTGGTAAACATATTTTACTTTTGTAGAAACAATTCCTGCTTATAGCTTAGTACCTTGGAAGAAAATCATATAATTTTCATACTATCCACCCCCAAGTCCTCAACCCAAGTAGGAGCTGAGAAGAATGCTTGGATGTGATATTAGGAAAGTCAAATTATAGGCTATCCTGGTATTAAGGTATTAACTTTTGCATCATTGTTGCCTTACTTGTAACCATCTTTTCACTGATTACAACTTTTTGTAACAACATTTGACATTAGCCGGCATTTAATTTTTACTAATATCCGTAAGCTCAACTGCTGAAACTGGCCATATCCAGTCCATGCAGCAGGTCCATTAGTAAATTGAATGTTGGCCAACATGATAACATTGTTAGAGATAGTTACAGTAAGCCAATCGTCAAAATGACAAAGACCAAAATGTTAGAATCATAAAAAAGAGTTCCCATGATATGAATTTATCTAAATATATCATGTGGCAGCTTTTGACTTCCCCTCCATTTAGGTAAAACGCAGAGTTCCTTTCTTCCATGTGAGGGAAGATTAATGCATATATCTGTCCTAGACATTTGAACGTTCTTAAGCCATGGGACTTGTGTCCAGTTATATACTGGCATATAATTGTGATTGTTGGAACTTGCTACTCTCTCTATATGAAAAAACACTTGTTAGAATTTCAAATTTTAACTTTGAAAACCGTTCTAATCTTTGGGGTAGAGGACAGGTCCGTAAATCCAAACCCACCTTCGGGTGGGATATATCGGGGCTCGTTTGGTTAAGTGAGCTCTTTTTTTGGGACACAGAAAGCATAATTGATTTGATGATAACAATTGTTTTATCGTAAATGTAGGGAATGACTAATACCGAGCTTCAGTTTGAAATGGCAATGAGAGATCAAGTGATTCACAATCAAAGGGAAACACAAAGAAACCTATGGAATCTTGTTATGGGGTTAGGACTAGATGAGAAGCAGCTGCTTAAGCTTGCTGCTAAGCAAGGTATAGTTATCGAAGACTGGGCAATGACACCTCAGTTGGGTTTGAGTGATGGGACTGCGTCATGGAAGATGGGACATGAAAGATCTCCTCACATACCTCTTTGTTCCGCCAGTCGACAGTCGTGCCCTAATCCTTCCAGTACATCCCCACAAAACCAAGCTGGGCCTAGGCCTTTTTCTGAAGGATATGGAGACACATATTGCCGGGAGGAGCACCATTCGTCGTATTATTTTATGTCTCATAATTCTCCATCTACATACATGAGTCTAACTAGGAGCAGTGAGAATTGGGTTGGTCATATGTCAAGCTCACTATATCCATCTCCTGATATGCATCCTCCTGGTTTAGGCGATTCATATCTCAAAATGAGAGGCACAGGCTCCTCAAACGGTGATGGCCGTGCATCAACTTCTCCTCACCAGAAGGTATGGATTCCATTTACATGTCAAATATATCTGGAAGGGCAATGGAGTTCTCATATAATTATATAGCTTTGTGCACACAGACACACACACACACACACACACAGTTCAATGTTTCTTTCTGATTTAAATAAAGGGTAAACAAGAGTCTTTTAGGATGAGAAAGAAAACCCACTTTTTATTCAGAACAAAAACAATGGTCATTTATAACTTGTCTTAATAAAAAGGAATAAAATTGAAACACTTTATTCGGAACAAAAACAATGGTCATTTATAACTTGTCTTAATAAAAAGGAATAAAATTGAAACACTTAACCATGTGATACAAGACTTTGAAGCCCTAACACATGTTTACGCAGGATGCATCGAGGAGAATGTCAAGGCAATAATGAGATGACTAGTTGCAGTGAAGATGCAATCCCTTAGGAGAGAGGTCAGGGCAGATACAAACCAATCTGAGCAGCTTGTCTCAAATGATTGCAGATAATCTGTTGTAAGTTGGTAGTGTATAAATAGGAGTTCCATCCAATATTCTTTCTGTATCTAACAACTTTGCTTCATTTTCATATTTTATAGCATACAGAAGTTTCAAATTGGCTCACTCCTCCTACAAACAGATTGTAATAGTCTTAATTGTAGTTGTTGAGATTGATTAGGTATCAAAAGATAAAATGGAAGAGAATTTAAAAGTTAAAAGTTCTGGAAGTTGTAAAGAGCAGAGGGACAAATATTATTTCTACTAAAGTTGGAGGATACATTTTGTAAATCTGGCATATTTCTCAATACTTGTTGCAAATAGCGGTATCGTGGATCAATCTGAAGTCAAAATAGTGACCTTGAAATGAGCTAAAACAAAGCTGGAAATCGCGGTTGTTATCTCGGCCAAAACTGGGTTCAAATACCGGTTTGGGTGGAACCGGTAGCTTTTTGGGCTAAGAAAAAGTGGGCTGATGATCATCTGGGTCGATTTGAGGTGGGTTATTTTGGATTTAGAGCGCCCGAGCCTGAACGGTCCATGATTTTAAGTCCTAAAAAATAGCAAATCGGCCTGACTTATTTAGAAGTTTAAAGAAAAATCACATAATTGGCCTCCAGACTTTATATAATGCAAATTTTGACCAATTTCCGTTATTCTACATTTAATAGAAGAGACTTTTATCTTTTTACACCAATTTGAAAACGTCCACTTTCCTCGAGTCTACTTGAAAGGGAAAATTGCACCGGAATGGAACTAACTTTCACCTAATTCTTATTTTGAGGAACCAATTTTTACAATCGTTATTTTGGGGAACTAACTTGCACCTGATTCTTATTTTGAAGAACCAATTTTCAAAATCGTTATTTTGGGGAATCAACTTACACCTGATTCCTATTTTAGGGAACCAACTTGCAAAATAATTATTGAAAAATAAATAAAATTCGTTTTTTTCCAAAAATTAATGCAATAAAATCTATTTTTCATTTTAAATCTCGTTTTTTTTAATTCAGATATCAAATTGAACATTTTTAAAAAAAATTCAAATTACCACGATAAAAATTATTTTTTACTAAATGCAAAAAAAATCAATTTAATAGAAAAAAATTAATTGATGCAATTGGTTAGATATAAAAATCTTGAATGTGATATTTAACGTTTATTTTTTATTGCATCAATTAATTTTTTTTATTAAATTAATTTTTTTTGCATTAGTAAAAAACAATTTTTATTGTGGTAATTTGGATTTTTTTTTTAAAATGTTCAATTTGATATCTGAATTAAAAAAATGAGATTTGAAATGAAAAATAGATTTTATTGCATTAATTTTTGGAAAAAACAAATTTTAGTTATTTTTTATAATTATTTTGCAAGTTGGTTCCCCAAAATAGGAATCAGGTGCAAGTTAGTTCCCCAGAATGAAGATTTTGAAAGTTGATTTCCCAAAATAGGAATCAGGTGCAAGTTGATTCCCCAAAATAACGATTTTGAAAGTTGGTTCACAAAATAAAAATTAGGTGAAAGTTGATTCCATTTTGATACAATTTTCTCTACTTGAAACACCGATCCATTATTTATGGTTTTTATGTTATAAAATATAAAGATTATAGTGCTGTTTGCAACGAGCTTTTTTTTTTCTTTTTTGTTTTTCTGATAAGGTAGTAGATTTATATACTCATATTAAAGAAATTTTCTTTCATAATCAATTTGAATACATTAAATGCAAAATTTTCTTTTATAATCACTTTGAATGCAAAACTTTCTCCATAATCACTTTGAAATTCTTTTAATCAATAAATTATATATTTTTAATTTTTTTTACCATCTTGTTTGTATTAATTAATATATTATATTATTAAAGATTTGTTTTAATTATATTTTAAAATATTATAATAGATTAATTTTCCAAGATGTCATTTTTGATCATTTTATATTTTTATTAGCTAGTTTTGCAAACATGATTTATTAATTAACTAACTTTTCAATTATCAGCCAGCTTATCGGCTATTTTGCCAAACATGGCCTTAGAGATGTCAACTTTGAGCTCCTAGACATTTGAATTTGTGTATACACCAGAATTTTGAATTTTGTGTATTTCAAAACCAAACATGGGTAACTTTCAAAAAATACATTATAACCGGTTATTTCATCATTTTTCTATATTTTATTTCACTATTAACATCTAAAATTTTATATTTATTTGTACCTTTTTTCATACTCTTTTGGATTTTGCATATCGATTGCACGAGATAATTTAACATTTCAAAAATATTTGTTCTTAATGAGCTAATATAGATGTGTTAATGCTATCTTATAACAAATGCTACATATATATGATTAAACAAAATAGTTTATTAAATATTTTAGGTGACAAATAAACGAAAATACCTTATAATAATGTCAAAAAAATGTGAATCGAAACACAAAAATAAAGTTATTAATATTTCATGAGAACTCTTTGTGAGTAAATTGATAACCTTAGAAATAAGTTTGTTCAACATTTACATTGTGATATCAGTTATATCATCATATTTTTTTTAGGTTAGATTATAATTTTCATGACAGCAAAACTGGTCGAATAGAAAAAGAAAAAAATACTACAACAAAATCGGGTTTATAGGACACTTCCAAATTCTAAGTGTCCTAATAGACCTATTTATAGGACAAAAAAATAAAGTGTCATATCTAAAGGTGTTGTAATAAGTTTATATGACGTTTTTGACGTCGTAATAAGTTTTTTAGGACATTTTTAATATAAAGCGTCCTATTATCAACTTTATAGGTCACTATTTGAAAAAATGTTCTATAAAAACAAATGTTCTATAAAAAATTGAGTTTATATGACATTTTTTCAAAAATGTCCTATAAAGTTGCTAATGCGACACTTTGTATTAAAAATGTCCTAAAAACTTATTAAGACGTACAAAAGCGTCATATAAACTTATTACAACACCTTTACATATAGGGATGACAAAAAAAACCGAAACCGACGGTGAAAACCGAAAACCGAAACTTTCGGGCCGGGTTCGGGGACATTTTATCGGGGACGGGACGGGGATCGGGGACAAATTCGGGGATTTTAACGGGGACGGGGACGGGGGCGGGGACGGTGATCACCGGCCCGGCCCGGCCCGATATGTATATATATATATATATTTATTTATTTATTTTAATTTATACATATATATATATATATCTATAATATCTTTAAAAAAAGTAACATTAAAATTTAAATAAAATTTATCCACTTTACCTCAACAACCCAAATAAAGCTCACGAAAAGTCTAGTTTATTTGTCAAAAACCGTTATTTTAGTTGTATGATGTTCGAATTTTTGTTTAGTTTTATATTGTAATCTAATACATTGTTTGTAAATAGTTCAATTATGTTTGAGACATTTAAACTTAGATCTTTAAAAAAATTGTAATTTACTTTTAATTGTGAAAATTAACATATTGTAATTTTTTCAATATCGGTTTYGGGTTTCGGGTTCGGGTTCGGGTTCGGKTTCGGTTATAACCAACGATGAAAAAGAGAACTTTTACCCTTAACGGGTTCCCCAACGGGGATCGGGGAAACCGCGGGGACCCGATGGGGATCCCCGATAAGATCCCCGACGGGGATCGGGACGGTTACGGGGACGGTTTTAGTTATCGGTTTCGGGGACGGGGATACCAATACCCGGCCCGAACCCGGCCCGTTGCCATTCCTATTTACATACGACGCTTTATATTTTGGTCTTATAAACTAAATTCAATAAAACGGTCTATTCAGACGCTTTATATTTTGGTCTTACAAACTAAGTCCTATAAAACAGTCTATTGGGACGCTTAGAGATTAGGGGTGTCATATAAACCCAATTTTGTTGTAGTGAAACCTGTTATGGGTATTAAAGAATACAAATATTTTTAATTTTGAGATATATGAGAAAATACAACATTTTATTTCCTATGAGAGTTTTTGTGAAGATGTATCTCTTGTCGGTTATTAACCCCTACACAAGGTATTTGATGTCTATGGTTGTTTTCTCAACTTTATTTCCTCAATGGGGTGTTTTTTTAAGGTATTTAATCATTAATCAAAATATTTATACTTTTTTAAGACGATGAAAATATCTTTTTTTTAATTAACGCAAACGAAATGAAACAAAGGTTCTTTATGTGGTATAAATCATCTATAACATCTTTATTGAATTTATTATCAATGACAATTAATTACTATTTAAAATTGTTATTAAATTACATCGTTTATCAGATACGTGAAAAGACGTAATATTTTATTAGATGGTCCAAAAAGGCATGGAGAATTGAACATTAAGAACAAGGATAAAGTCATGCATGTGACATCTAATTCTTGTTGAACAAACACCAAATATCCTACAAAAAGATGAACCACTTACTTTCATGGCCAATATTCCTATATATAAACGATAAATTAGTGACACATCTCGACCCCTCCACTACATATAAAAACACAATTTCACCACCAAAAAACCCAGTCATGAAGCACAAACAACATAGAAGAATCACAAGACAAGTGACTCAAAGGAAAACTGATTTAGTTTTGGGTTGATCGATTCATGACGTGTGTTTCTAGGTTCACTTTGAAGCTTTTTTGATTAGTTAGGAAGGCCGAGTTAGGATACTTATGCTGATATCGAACCATTGAATTTATTTCATAACAATTCAAAAATGTAACTACTTTAGGATCAAATAAATCTTTAAGAATCAATGTTGAGAAGAGATTGGATATTATTCTAGTTATTTTTATTAATGAAATTGAATGTATTATTATTTATTAGAAGGGTACTCGCGCAATGCAGCGAGATACATCTTGATTTTAATATTTCATTTTATTCTTTCTCTCAATCGATGTTATAATATGATTTTTTGTAATTTTGAAAAAGCGATTATGTTTTTATTTTTGAATAAAATACAAATTTGAAGATATCATAAAAATATGACAAAATTATATCGATATTAGTATCATATTAGCTATTTAAAACTCCTCAATTTTTGTCTAATTTTTTAATTATAATTTAATTTAAGTTCAATAACGAAGTAATTTATATTTGGTTTAGTAATATAATTTTCTTATAAAGATAATAGTTAACTATTTTGTTAGAACTCGATAATTATCCTAATTATATTTTAGATTTTTTTTATTTTTAAAATGAGATGTTTGTTCTCTATTTGATTATGTTTATCCGCAGTTAGTTACATGAATTCAAACATGAAGTTTTAATAAGTTGTACTTATGCATAATTTACTTGTAATCTTGAATTTTAAGTAATATGCATCAATATACAGTACTTTATGCATAAAAAATTGTTTTTAAGAGTTTTTATCAAATGCTTTATAATATAGTATAGATAATAACCGTTTTACTTCAAAATGTATCGGCCGGAATGATATAATTAGTATTGGAATCTATAGTAGCTGTTAATTCTTTTAAAAAGGTTTGAACTTTTTAATACTTAGTTTTAGAAGAATTATAGAATATAATTAAGATCAACATTATGATTCGATAACAATTTCATCCGATTAAATTCAATAATCATACAAATAAAAAATGTCTTGTGTAAGACACAAATTGATGGGAGTATGGGCCAAATAAACAGGAGCCTGAAGAATCATGTAGAAATAGTATGTGAAAACTTCACATGGTATAGAGAGTAAGCAAGTGATGATCATTCAATTAATTGTCATTACCGTCTTTTAGCATGTTAAATGTGTGATTTTGAATAGGGCTCCAGAAATTTTGAGGCCTAAATTTACATGTGTTCAGGATCTTTTTATCGACCTGTATAAAACTCTAGCCGAAATTATTTAGGTTCAAACCATTAATTGTTTGGTTTTAAGTTCAAATTATTAATGGTTTAAGTTTAGTTTTAGATTGTTAATCGTCTTAGTTTTAACCCATTTTTGTTCTTAACATATATTCTCTGTTATCTCATTTATGCAATGCAATCAAAAGTTTTGGATATAGCGGAGCCTCTAAAAAGATTAAAACGTCCCCGTTGGTTGTTCTAAGAAAAAGGTAATCGCAAAAACTTTTTTCAAAGGTGAGAAGTGTTTTTTTCCCTTTCTCCTCTCCTCCCACAATAACCTTCTCCCTTCCTTCTAATCCTACAGTAGTGCCTATATATTTGCAGGTTTGGTTCAATCTCTCAAGTTTGGAACTACAACGAAAAAGTTATATTTCGGAACACACAATCTATCCCATTTCATTTGGATCCTCAGATTCAACATGTAGTCTGATCATAATCCTCAGTGAAGTTGCTTCTTATTTTCCAACAATGGTGTCATTGCTTGGGATCCCCATTGGAGGGCTCAATCTACTTATAAAAGCATCAGGGCTCAAAGCTGTCATGAGATTTGTGGGTTACATGCACCTGTGGTGTGATCTTGACTAGCTTTTATATAACTGTCTGTTACAACGTAGCATTATATTGGGTGCAGGAGATGGGTTCCTTTTTCCATAAGAGATAAAAGAGTCATAGGGGCACCCTGCTAGCTGCTTCAACTCGTACCTCAAAGTCCTGGTCCAGAACGTGTTATTGGTCCTTACGCTTACTTTGACCATGTTTGGATTATTTATACATGAAGATGATCTGCCATCAAAATACATTAAAATATATGAATATTATCACGTTTTTGAACCCGCAAGAGATAAGAAACTACGTGGGAAAACAGTGTGCAGGAGCAGGAAATTCGCTTTTAGACGTGTGCCTCGTTTGAATAAATAACATTAACAATGTCTTCAACTTGCAGCTATAAACATCAAAAAATCATCTTCTCGTAGGTCATTTGAATAAAACAAACACAGTTCACAAGAGCTTTAGAAAGCCTTCTCCTTTTTGAAAGGTAAACCCTTAATTTCCCACTTCATCAGTCTCACTAAAACATCAGAGATCATATGTTCAAGAAGACAATCCATCAGAATCACCTCAGTTAGGTGTTTCTTGAAATTGCTTCAAAGACACATAGAAATCAGCGAGTTTTCTTGATTTTGTAATTAACTCGGAGGTTTCTTTTTTATGTTAGATCTAACGAAGTCTTGATATACTTGCAGGCTAGCTAGTTGCACATATATATAAAGCAGTCAAATGGCAATGGATTTGTCGTCAATGTGGTTACCAGAACTGGTAAGCAACAGACGCAGGTTGCTTATTGGAAACAAAGATATATCTAGTCCTATTTATTTACTTATTCTAGTGGGTTTTATATGTTGTAGGAAATGGAAGATCCAGGGCTCATGAATCAATATAATCAGATCAGCAAACTATATGACACCATTGATAACTTCAGTACTGATTCCTTTTCCTCAGAAAGTAACACAGAAAACGCATGTTTTACTGATCGAGCTTTTCAGACTCCGCCTAGCTTTGGCGAACAGGCTGAAATGAAATTGCCTAGTTATCAAACGGCTAGTAATTTTAACAGGCCTCCAACTTCAAAGCCTCTTAATGCTCCTACTGTTTCCACCTCCAACACTTTCACTATATCTTTTGGAGATCTAAAACCAAAAGAAGAGATCACCCCACTTAATGATTCGGCTGGTTATGAATCTGCTGGTACCGGAAAGATTCCGACAGTGGCCAGGAATACGTTTCAGGCTCAAGATCATGTGTTGGCAGAGAGGAAGAGAAGAGAAAAGTTGAATCGACACTTCATTTCTTTGTCTGCCCTCCTTCCTAACCTTAAAAAGGTACTAATCTATTTCTTCTTTTGATTAGTAATTGCCTTAAAACTCATCTGACTTAACAACATACAAATATGAGATCATCACCATAATTTTCTTAATCAGTTTTGGGTCATCTTTTTCTAGTGCAATCTATTCATATGTCCTAATATATATGCTAATTTCTTATATAACCCAGAATCGTTTTCATATATATTATAGATGAACTGACTCTCATATATCTTGTTTTAGATGGATAAGGCATCTGTGTTGGAAGATGCAAGTAATTACATAACGGAACTTCAAGGTCGCGTGAAGGAACTCGAGGGATTATCAAGCATTAAGGGGAAGGATATCGACGTTAAAGAATCTGTCATTGCTTTGAAGAGATCTAGGCCTAGTGGCAACGATGAAGACGACTCATCTTCTAACGAAACAAATTCTGCAGATGTCCCTTGCAAATCATCTGCTGAGATCGAAGTGCGGATGTCAGGAAGTAGTGTGCTGGTAAGAATCCAGTCCCCGAAGACCTCTTCTTTGCTAGTGAAAGTGCTCAGAAAAATGCAGAAGCTTGGGCTATCCATCATCAGTAGCAACTCCATGCCTTTTGCTGATACTACTCTTCTTATCACCATTGCAGCTCAGGTATGCTTTCTAACCCTAATCATGGTACCGTCATCCCATCTTGGCAAAATTTTACTTACATGTGATGAAATTGAAGCTAATTAAAGCTGTAGCTATTATGTCTTGAAACTCATTATTAGGTCAAAATGTATGTTGGTTTGCACCAAAACAGTTAATTTGAATGTCATATGGATACGTATTTTATGCTTCTTGACACATAAAACAAGACCATAAGATTGTCATCTCCTCCATATATAGTAAAATTCTTCAAACTTCAAAGTTAACTTTGAAAGAAATTAGTGACGTTTTTGTGTGTGAGCACATACACAAACACACACGTTTAATCATTATGAATCGAGTGAAACGATATTTGAATCGATCTCTAAATGTCAGCTGGTACCCTTTCTTTTTATTTGTACAGACAGAGGGAGACTTCTTTATGACAGCTGCGGATCTTGTGAAGAACCTTCAACTAGTTATATAAACTAGGTTGATCATGACATGCAATTACAAGCTCAAGATTCCCACTTGATATTGCCCTTTGGTTTTAGTTTTCCATATTGTAGGGAGGAATGTTGAGAACATTTATATTCTCATCCCAATCATTGGGGTTTTCAAGTACTCCTGAAGAAGACTAGCTAGCATCCCGTATAACAGTCGATCTGTATGACACTTTTCACTGATTGTTTGGTGATAGATGGAAGGCTACAATCTTTTCCAGTGGGTTCTTGTTAGTTCTGTACATGATTGTATAAGAAACTACCAATTTCTGAAATCAATTCCATCTTTTTAGTTCTATTTGATACTCTATGAGATTTCTGTGGAGGGTAATTGCAGATTTTCATGAGATTTGTTTGTATTTATTTATTCTGTTTAAGCAACTTGATTTAAGGAACATATCATGTTGTTAATTAATTTGTTAATGTTTGATTCTAGTGGAAGTTTTTTGTATCTTAATTTAGTAATCAGTCTCTATCCTTGAGATGCACGTGTTGGAAGAACAGCTCATTAACTCCAATACATTTCTTAAACCTATCTTTATTTGGAAACATGAAAAAACTGGCATGTGTCCAGAAAGATTTAAACTCACATGAACTTATGAGTCGTAAATATCTGAATGGTACCATTTTACTTGATATTTCATATGCCACAAATGGATAATAACTGGCTTGCTTTAATTCATTGGGGTCCTGGATAGGTGGTGTTAAAATTATAAGCTAAGTCATGTGATTATCTATAAGTTATCTTGTTTATCATAGTTGATAGGTTATTAGCGACAGTTTTTATTTGGTGGTTATTTACCAACAGTTGTGTTGGTTCATAAACCATATATGTTGGTTAACTGTCTGTCGCTTCATATGTGTGTATATATATGTGTTTCTTGAATAGAAAAATTTGCTGCAGTAATAATAAGAATATCCTTTGATCTCCAGCCCTGTTTTTCTGTGTTGTTTCTTATTTTGATCCAACAGGTGTTACAGGTTGAATCTTGCCCACTGCAAACAAGAAATATACCTGTATGTAGTATGTGTGTGTGTATATATATATATATATCACATACATACGTCTTATGTGGCTTCTCTTTAATTATAAACATAGACTTGGGTGGAAGTACAATCTAAAGAAGAGGCTTATGATAATGATGAAGGTATAGTGAGGGTTACATCTGGTGCTAAGTGGGGGAAGAAACAACTAGCAGAGATCAGTTACGAAGTTACTTGTAAACAATCCCAATTACTTGTATACACATATACGTAGCATATTGTCCAGAAGAATGATTACTAGGGTTTTGATTTTCAACCAAACCTTTGACGACGTAGAGTAGTCCAACTGGTAAAGTCGAAAAGGCTGTAGGGAATTGATTCTTCAAAGGCAATGGGCTAAAGAGGCCAAAAGAAGAAGAATATGGAATATAATAAGTCCATGTGGAATGTAAGAATTAGCCACAAAAAATGAGTAAATATATTATATTATATTATATTATATTATATAGTGGAAGATATTAAATTCAAAGCCTTTGTGGAATTAAGCTCATTAATTTTCAACTGAAATTAAAGGCAGGAGAATTGTATAAGAACTTGAAGAACATATAAATTACACAGGTTAAACACTAAAAAAGTACTTATATATGGGTTTTTAGGACATCCTCAATCTCTAAACGTCCCAATAGACCGTTTATAAGATTTAATTTATAGGACCAAAATATAAAACGTCTTATCTAAAGATGTTGTAATAAGTTTATATGACGCTTTTGGGTGTCTTAACAAGTTTTTTAGGACATTTTTAATACAAAGTGTCGCATTAGCAACTTTATAGGACACTTTTGAGAAAGTGTCCTATAAACTCAATTTTTTATAGGACATTTGTTTTTATAAGACAATTTTTCAAATAATGTCTTATAAAGTTGATAATAGGACGTTTTATATTAAAAATGTCAAAAAACTTATTACGACGTCAAAAAACGTCATATAAACTTATTACAACACCTTTAGATATGACACTTTATTTTTTTGTTTCTATAAACTATGTCGTATAAAAAGGTCTATTAGGACACTTAAAATTTGGAAGTGTCATATAAATCCGATTTTGTTGTAGTGTGCAAAAGGCTCTGACAACATATCGGTCTTTCTAGCGGCTACTAGCCAAACAAATTAAACCCTAACTAGCAATTTGTGCTCCAAAACTAGATCTCCTCCATCTACTACACCGCTAAATTCCATGCTCAATGGGATTAATTTGCATGCCGGACAAAGAAGCTTTATGGTCTTCTTCCCTGTTTCCGATCGGTCTGGTTAAAGTCTATTTGCATATAATTATGGAAGTTCATTGTTTTTATAGCCACGGAAATTATGAATATAAGTTTATAACTTTCATAGACATTCAAATCTAACAAATTACGTTCTTTCTCAAGGAATATTGATGTGAGTCACTAAGGGCGGATTTATGAAGCCTCAGCGGTGTCACGTGCACCCCCTCAAGAGATTTAATTTCGCAAGTACAATTTTATTTGAGGCATGGAAGATGTAAATGTTAAACTTTGAAGAGTGTTCTTCAAGATATTAAAAAATACAAGAGATATCAAATAAAAAACTGAAAAAATCATTCGAAATCAACCAAAAAACTGAGCCAAAGTTGTATGCCACAACTATGGTGCTGATAGAGATTCACTACTTTAGCGCCGTTACCGGACATTAAATCATTCGAAATTGTTGGGTCCGAAAAACTCATCGTTCCCTCGAGCCGGTCAAATCCGCGATTCTTAAACCCAACGCTCCTGTAGCAATGCAGGAGCATCCCACATCGGTGAGGCTAGGGGGATTCGGCTTCCTTATAAGGAAGTGGGAGTCTTACTCCTACCAGTGACGCGTTTTAAAGCCGTGAGAGGTTGGTCAAACCCAAAACGGACAATATCACGTGGGCGGTTCCCTAGATCGGTCCAACAGAAATCAACATAAAAGTTAGAAAAATCTTTCAAAATCAACAAAAAGACTAAAAAAAAAAATCCCCAAAACGGTTGTGGAGTTGATTTAAAAACACATCAGACGACTTTACGAGCCTTTAATCTAACTTAAAAGTGCAATCGCTCGACAAAAATTATGAGCTCCTGCTCTAGCGTCGACGATATAAAGGTTAATAACACACATTACACCATAGTTTTACCTCCTCTTTTTTAAATATTTCATGTATATTGTCCTTGAGTTCTAATTGAATAATAAATTTTATCCTATTGTTTTCTTTTTCCTTTTTTGTTTGTTTAAATACTAATTAGATCTCGCTACATACGGTCTAACTAGAGGAATGGACGTAATTGATACGAGAGCTCCGTTAAGTGTTTCGGTCGGTGGAGCGACTCTCAGACGAATTTTCAAGGATTAAATTTTTCATATACAATTTTTTTTTTAATTTCATTTTGTTACAAATTGAATATTAACTTTTCAACATTGATTATTTAATTTGTATTACATATTTGATTAGATTTATGTACATATAAATAATAAGGCTTAATTAATATGTAATTCATTTTATAAGTTATAGTTAGAGAAAAATGTTTAGCATAGTTGCACACAAGCAATTATATGGCGAGTCGATTATCTTGCGATCTAATTTTCGACATTCTCGTAATTTTGGATTACTAGAATTTTCCGTACTCTTGAAGTTTTTGTATTCTCGAAATTTTCTCGACGATGATATGACATCAGAATGCTAACAATATTAGGGTTCCATCATAGTGGGACTCCAACAATATACTAATTTATGCATCTGAAAAGATGACTTATCTCTCTGAATACAATTCAACAGAACTTTGAAATCATATATCCTTCTCTTGGCTGGTTGTGTGCCATTAATTACCATGCAAAATCTGAACCCACCGTTCCTCTTTTGGTCGTTGTATTTTGCAGATTAAGGAGGACTTCAGTAAGTCAGTAACTGATCTTGTGAAGAACCTTCAACAACAAGAAGCTGTATGAACTTTGAGTATGACATGCAACTTCAAGTTCAAACATCCACCTGAAGATTAAAGTCAGTATGTTTCAGTTCTCGATCCATTTTGTTCTTCAGAAGGAGGAAAGTAAAAAAAACTACTCAGGAAGAAGCATAACAACCCCATCTTTCTGCATGGGTTTTCTTGTTGGTCTTTCACATGGTTGACCATGGTTTTTTACCCTTGTGATGTATAACAAACCACCATTTTTTTTCCCTTTTCTGTCAACTTCTGTTGGATGCTCTAAATATAAAACTCCTGTTCAGGTTTTGCTGTGGATTTGGGTGAGATTTCATGGCCTTTGTTAATCTGTACTTGTGCAAGTACAGATGGGCAGATGGAAGAATCTCTACCTTCTCTTTTGGGTTTGAGGTATATTTGTCTGGGGCTTTCAATTCTTTAATGTAAACTATTAAAATCCTCCTTGATCCCAATTGATTCTGGTGGCGATTTTATTCTCCAAATCCAAATACTATATCACCTGGTTTGTTGTTGATAAAAAGGACCAGCTCAACCACAAGGGTGATGCCTGATTGGTTTGAGCTTGGTTCTAAAGATTAAAAGTACTGGGAGATCTCAGATTCAAATTCAAAGAGGAATAAAAATCCCCTTGTGGCCACGGAGGTTCAAATGCGGTGACTCCGGGCTATCTGCAAAGCAGGTGGTCGTCCTGAGATTAGTCGGCTCACATAGCGGGTTGGATATCCAAATTAATTAAAAAAAAAACAAGAAATAACATATGGAAATCTTTAAATTTAAAAAAATCATTAAAAAAAAAAAAAAAAAAAAAAGAGGACCAGCTCATAGTTAAATGGAGTATTAAGAATAAGAATTTTCCTTTTCTGGTTTGCTCAATTCCCTGTGTTTTTAGCATATGGACATATTTGATATCATTATTCTTGTTTCTGCTAAGTTAACCTAAGAACTTAATATAACAATAATGTATTGTTTGCATTGCAATTCGTCTGTTTGTGATGCATGTGAACAGAGTTGTTTCTTAGTATGTTAAATATGAGATTTTGAATAGGGCCCCCGAAATTTTGGGGTCAAAATTTACATGTGTTTAGGGTTCTTTTTTTTGACCTGTGTAAAACTATAGCCGAATTTATTTAGCCTCAAACCATTAATTGTTTGGTTTTATGTTCAAATCATTAATGGTTTAGGTTTAGTTTCAGATTGTTAATCGTTTTAGGTTTAGCCAATTTTTGTTCTTAACATATATTCTCTGTTATTTCATTTATGCAATTCAATCAAAAGTTTTGGATGTAGCAGAACCTCCAAAAAGATTGGAACTTCCATGCATGCGAAGCAAATC